TTCCTAACCTGTTGCCATGGTTTCAGCCAATGGGATAGGCAGTGGGTTGGCAGGCGGCAACGGTAGGGGTCAAACAAGTTCACTGTTGGGGGCTGGATGGGGGTTGGGATGTATGTGTGGGTGTGATGGAGGGATGCTGGGGCATTGGAGAGGATAATGGGGAGCTGATGTGGTTGAGAAGGTGGGACTTAGCATGTGTGTGTCCGCAAGTTTTGATGTACACAGCAGAAGTATGTGGAGAACAGGTGTGTTTTAGGCAGGCAGGGGGATGGAGTAAGTGATTATAGCTAAGCTTTGATCAAGGATCAAAGGACTTTTCAATTTTTAATTTTTAATTTTTTTTTTTTTTTGGTGGGGGATGTCAGGTATTTCAGATGCACAAAAGACTATTCATCTGTGCTGGAGCCTCCTGGGGGTTTGGGTGGGGTTTGGTATGGGAGATGGAGATGGGGGTTGGTTGTTGTTGGGAATTAGGGCTATTGATGCTCAGTTGGGTGGGGTGTGGGATTGGATTAAGAGTGGTAAAGATGGAAGGCTGCACTCTTTCACATTTCAATATAGCAGCTTCAGTAAGAAGGACTAGGGTCAAAGGTGCAGCTCTAATGCAACAGATGGAAAATTGTCCTGTGTAGGGATGGGCTCAGGATTTGTAACAGTCTGAATCCTGAGCATCATTTAGTTTCAACTCTGTTCCAATCACCGAGACACATATTCCTAGGTCTAATCTTTTGTGGGACTGAGCCATGTTACAAATTAAAATATTGTTTCCTTTACATGCACTATTTTCAGTAAGACAACTTAGTTTTGTACTTCAGAGATAGAGCAGTTCAGAATGTGTTTTCCCTTCACAACAACTTATCAGAAGGGGACCAATAAAGACATACCACAACTGATTAAATCCTCCTGCCACTGAACAATACATACATGGGAGTTCTCAAGATTACAAGAATCAAACCCCAAGGAGGTAACAGAATGACGAAGGCCTGCTTTGTGTTCCTAAAGTATTGAATGCTAAATGGAAGGAGGGTCAATATTGAGGACGCCCATAAGCAACTGTGAAGCGATGAAGGACAAGACATAGCCAAGAAAACATACACACATACAAAACCCAAAACCAGTGAAGTTGGCATGTTGTGTAAACCATAAATAAAAACAGAATACAATGATTTGCAAATCCTTTTCAACCTATATTCAATTGAATACACTGCAAAGACAAGTTACTTAATGTTCGAACAGGTAAACTTTGTAATTTTTTGCAAATATTAGCTCATTTGGAATTTGATGCCTGCAACATGTTTCAAAAAAGCTGGCACAAGTGGCAAAAAAGACTGAGAAAGTTGAGGAATGCTCATCAAACACTTATTTGGAACATCCCACAGGTGAACGGGCTAATTGGGAACAGGTGGGTGCCATGATTGGGTATAAAAGCAGCTTCCCTGAAATGCTCAGTCATTCACAAACAAGGATGGGGCGAGGGTCACCACTTAGTGAACAAATGCGTGAGCTGATTGTCGAACAGTTTAAGAACAACATTCCTCAACGAGCTATTGCAAGAAATTTAGGGATTTCATCATCTACGGTCCGTAATATCGTCAAAAGGTTCAGAGAATCTGGAGAAATCACTGCACGTAAGCGACAAGGCCGAAAACCAACATTGAATGCCCGTGACCTTCGATCCCTCAGGCGGTACTGCATCAAAAACCGACATCAGTGTGTAAAGGACATCACCACATGGGCTCAGGAACACTTCAGAAAACCACTGTCAGTAACTACAGTTCGTCGCTACATCTGCAAGTGCAAGTTAAAACTCTACAATGCAAAGCGAAAGCCATTCATCAACAGCACCCAGAAACGCCGCCGGCTTCGCTGGGCCCGAGCTCATCTAAGATGGACTGATGCAAAGTGGAAAAGTGTTCTGTGGTCTGACGAGTCCACATTTCAAATTGTTTTTGGAAACTGTGGACGTCGTGTCCTCCGGACCAAAGAGGAAAAGAACCATCCGGACTGTTATAGGCGCAAAGTTCAAAAGCCAGCATCTGTGATGGTATGGGGGTGTATTAGTGCCCAAGGCATGGGCAACTTACACATATGTGAAGGCACCATTAATGCTGAAAGGTACATACAGGTTTTGGAGCAACATATGTTGCCATCCAAGCAACGTCTTTTTCATGGACGCCCCTGCTTATTTCAGCAAGACAATGCCAAGCCACATTCTGCACGTGTTACAACAGCATGGCTCCATAGTAAAAGAGTGCGGGTACTAGACTGGCCTGCCTGTAGTCCAGACCTGTCTCCCATTGAAAATGTGTGGCGCATTATGAAGCGTAAAATACGACAACGGAGACCCCGGACTGTTGAACAACTTAAGCTGTACATCAAGCAAGAATGGGAAAGAGTTCCACCTGAAAAGCTTCAAAAATTGGTCTCCTCAGTTCCCAAACGTTTACTGAGTGTCGTTAAAAGGAAAGGCGATGTAACACAGTGGTAAAAAGGCCCCTGTGCCAACTTTTTTGCAATGTGTTGCTGCCTTTAAATTCTAAGTTAATGATTATTTGCAAAAAAAAAATAAAGTTTCTCAGTTTGAACATTAAACATCTTGTCTTTGCAGTGTATTCAATTGAATATAAGTTGAAAAGGATTTGCAAATCATTGTATTCTGTTTTTATCTACGATTTACATAACGTGCCAACTTCACTGGTTTTGGGTTTTGTACATGATTACAGTGGTTACAGCAAGCAAGCAGAACCCCAAACCTGATTAGCTATGACACTGATGCCTTGTGATGAAATATGTGTTGGCTGGAAATCCTGATCACTGAAGGGTTGCACTCATTTCAAGTCAATCTAGATGCCAGGATAGGTGCAATGTGTAAAGTGTCCTGTTTTTGCCCACAATGTCTACTCTCAATAAGAACTGTTTTTATTGCAGTCCCTTTGTCCTTAGACAAACTAGAAAGGAGCATCTGCTTTCAGATGAATAAAAAAAGGCTGAAGTGCCCACTTTCAACTGACACCCGCGGCTCACACAGGACACACTGTACAGATAAAGGAAGTATGATGTGCCACTCTGGGAAGAAAGTGTCTTTTAATTGCTGCTTTTCTGGAGCATTAATGATGAATGCATCATTTGCATCATTTTCAGTTCAGTTTAATTTTATTTTATTTATAAAGCTCAATATCAGAAATCACAATTTACCTCAGAGGATTTTACAGCATTCAACATCCCTCCGTCCTTAGGCCCTCACAGCAGATAAGGAAAAACTCCCCCAAAAAAACCCTTTAATGGGGAAAAAATGGTAGAAACCTCAGGAAGAGCAACTGAGGAGGGATCCCTCTTCCAGGACGGACAGATGTGCAATAGATGTCGTACAGAACAGATCAACATAATAAATTTACAATAATCCATATGACAAAATTATACAAAAAGAGAGGGAGAGTTAGAGAGAGACTTAGACAGACAGAGACAGAGAGTATAATAATACTAGTTTTACTAGTATTTTGGTAGCGTATATGTATATATATATATATATATATACATGTATATATTATCCAGATGTAGCTGCAATTGGGGGGAACCAGTGGAGACAGTGGAGCACAAAGACACCGGAGAAGAAGCCGAGTAAGTGCATAGGACATGAATGTTAGCAAGTGAAGACGAACCAATTTTTCAGAATCTGACTGGGGGAAGGAGAGAAGAGGCTCAGTGTGCCATAGGAGGACCCTGGCAGGCCTATATCAGCCTAACTAGGGGCCAGACCAAGTCTAGCCTGAGTCAGTCCTTACTATACTGTAATCTTTATGAAAAAGGAAAGTCTTAAGTCTATTTTTAAATGTGGAGACTGTGCCTGCCTCCTGGGCCGAAACAGGAAGATGATTCCACAAAAGAAAAGCCTGATAGCTGAAGGCTCTGGCTCCTGATCTACTTTCGGAGACTTTAGGGACCACGAGTAACCCTGCATTCTCAGAGCGCAGTGTTCTGGTGGGATAATATGACACTATGAGCTCTCCAAGATATGATGGAGCCTGACCATTTAGAGCTTTATAAGTTAACAGTAGGATTTTAAATTCAATTCTGGATTTTACAGGGAGCCAGTGCAGAGAAGCTAAAACAGGAGAAATATGATCTCGTTTCTTAGTTCCTGTCAGTACATGTGTCACAACATTCTGGATCAGCTATAGATTTTTTAAAAAGTTGTTAGAACAACCTGAAAATAGGGAATAACAGTATTCCAGCCTTGAGGTAACAAATGCAAGGACCAATTTTTCTGCATCTTTTTGAGACAGGATAGGCCTAATTTTTGAAATATTACACAGATGAAAGAACACAGTCTGTGAAGTTTGTTTTATATGGGAGTTAAAAGACAAATCTTGGGCAAATATTACTCCAAGGTTTCTTACAGTTGTGCTAGAGGCCAGGGCAATGCCATACAGAGAAACTACTGTATATCTTCAGATAGAGTTTCTGAGGTGTTTGGGGCGAAGAACAATAACTTCAGTTTTGTCTGAATGTGAATTTCCTGACTGACAGAGAAAAGTTACACCAAAAATAAACATTTCAGTTCCCCCCTTTAATGATGTCAACAAAAAAAAACAAGTTTGACACACAACCTGGATGTGTATGATGCAACAGTTGAAGATGACCAGGTCAAATGTGGTTGGACTTCTATTCAATTCCCTGTGTTTAGAAAGCTCTCCAGTTGAACCAGTCACAGCTGATGGACAGAGTGTTACTACACCATTTTGATTTAGTGTTCTTATCAAACAAACTGTCCTCTCAAGACACCTGTTTGTCTCTCGCCTATTTTACCTCTCACTTCCTCTCATCCCCGACCATGCAAGCTCAGTACTTCTCTTGTGTACTGAGCTGATATGCTGTTTTTCTTGATTCCTTACATCACGAGCCTTATTTTTATCTCAGAGACCTAAAGTTGGAGATACTTCTCTTTCTATTTGCAGATGCTTTAACTCACTAATATGGTCTCTTTCTTTTTCTCTCAACAGGACCAGGAAACTGCAGATAAGAAATATTCCACCTCACCTGCAGTGGGAGGTTAGTTCGTATTTCATGTTTCCTGTAATATTTTTCTTGCTGTGATCATTAATTGTCTGTAACTGGGACTTCACACTGCCTGGCACCACATCACATTCCCACCACCACATCTCCTCTTTACATTTGGTGAAATTAATGTTTTTTGCTGTTTGGGTATAGGATTCAAAATCAAGTCCTCAGGCTGGCATGTGTGTCTTATTATTGGCCAGTCAGCAAAGCTTAGCAAAACAAGCTAAACCTTGACAAGGACATTTGAACCCGTCTTCCATACCTAGTCAGTCAAAAACATAGTAAGGCAGGTTTCTGCTTTAGCTCTTATTGTTTGGATATCACATAGCTGCCAACTCTCGTGAGAGTCACGCAACTGGTTGGTTTCACACGGTCTCACCCCACACCTCCAATTTCTCACTCCAAAAAAAAAAAAAATGTTGGTTGTCGTTCCACTCCTTTACGGTGTGGCGCCACCTTACATAACTAGGCCACTACCACCTCAAATGATGCCCTTCTTGTAGTAAGAAGAGGAATAAGAAATGGTTCAACTCTTGCATTTCTCACCTCCAGGTATGTTGGCATGTGTATTGTGAAGTAGTTAGGCTTTTAATCTTTACATTTAGGGGTGATGGTAGCATAGTGGATAGTGCTGGCACTCCATATAGCCTTCAGAGGTGATGCCTCGCTTGTTTTACTCCCTGTCTTGTTTGTATATTCTTTGGTCAGAATAAAGTTTTGAAGTTCTGACTTGCAACCATTTATTACACGTCATTCCCTCACTCTGTCCTATCCATTAAAGGTGAAAAAGCCCCAAAGAATAATCTTAAAACTTACATTCAGTTTCTTATATGTGTTGTGACAGCATGTCAAGGCATTTGGAGAGCTTTGTAAATGTCAAAAATGCTAAATTACTACTTTAAATTAGTACTTTATGTTAGCAGCTAAATTGAAATAGTAGCCTATTGCTGCAGCAGCCATCCTTTCAAGCAGCTGGGCAGAGCAAGCAGTAGATAGGCGAAAAATTCCGCTGTCATAAATTTTGGGCGCTAACTGAACGTATGCTCATTGATGGACATATTTAGCAGAACTGAGCAATTGTTTGTTTATGTGATTGAAATTATGTGATTGGAATTGCACTTATGAGTTCATTTGGTAGTCACCACACTAAAATGATGTAAAACAAGGCAAATTAGAAACACGATTCATGACAAATGCAAGAGACAAATTTACATTAATATCGACACAGCATTTATTTTTTAATATAAATTTATGTCCGTGTAATAGGCCACATTATGTTTAATGAAGGTTTTGTGGTTACCTGTTGTATTTGGGAAAGAAAAGAAAACTGAAGTATTAAAACACAATTGTCTGTGATATTAACAGGTATTATTGTGTAGGCCTAAACGACAAAATTGTTGTCAGCCCCGCTGAATCTCACTCCAAGGCCTTTTGAAAAGTTGGCAGCCCTGGATATCATACGAACAGTTGAATAAGGATATGTTGCAAATGTAGTGCTGTTATCTCCACCGTTGAAACAGCCGATCTCCAGCCAGGCTGTGCAATGTGTTTCTGAAGCCCCTTTCTCACTGCATTATAAAAACCTAACACCCACTACATCTGGGTTTTATATTTAATGGGAAAAGTTAATATCGGCATTCGCATGCAGATCAAATGACTCCAGTGGCGTGCACAGACTTTTTGAAGGGCAGGGGTGAAAAGAAAAAAAAGGGCACATACAGTGCTGAAGAGGGCACTAAGTTTCGTGTGTTTTCGAGGGCACTTTAGACATGTTTATATGTTATACAAATGGCACATTATATAGCCTTAAAACAGACTAACTAGACAGACTACTCAAGTTAGTTTGTAGTTAGGATCAGCATCCACGAGAACTGTGTAGATTCAACGTTGGACTGCGAAGAACACACAGAGACATGGATGTATGAAGGAAATAAATCCCTGGAGGGGTCTGGGGGTCCTCCCCCAGAACATTTTCAATTAAGTAGATGCCATTTTCTGTATTCTAGTGCATTTTAACACCATATTAGCACCAGATAATCCAGACTGGTTCTGTGAGATATAGTTCTGGCTTGATATAGATCAAAAAAGGGCCCAACATAAAAGTCATTGCAACAGTAATGTTTCATAGTATTTCTTGGTCCTAATAGTTTTCTGGAGTTTAGTGTATTTTTCAACACAAGAGAGCAGTTGTGTTTTGGCAACCAGGAGGGCACTTAAGCACATGTTTTTACCACCCAAGAGGGTAGTTTATCATGTTTTAACCAGCCAAGAAGGCAGTTTAGCTCCTCCGAGAACCGTCACCTTATCGTGGTGGAGGAGTTTGAGTGCCCTAATGACCCTGGGAGCTATGCTCTCGGGGGCATTTTGCCCCTGGTAGGGTTTCCCATGGCAGATTGGTTCTGGGCAAAGGGTCAGACGAAGAACGGTTCAAAAGACCCTTCATGATGGATACAAACAAGGACACGTGTACCCGGCCCGGAGGGTTACCGGGGCCCCATCCTGGAGCCAGGCCTGGGGTTGGGGCCCGTGGGCGAACGCCTGGTGGTCGGGCCTTCACCGATGGGGTCCGAACCGGCTACATGGGCTCGTCCCCCTGCAGGCCCACCACCCGCAGAGGGATCCAGAAGGGTTCGGTACAATGTGGATTGGGCAGCAGACCAAGGCGGGGGCCTTGGCGGTCCGATCCTCGGTTACAGAAGTTGGCTCTTGGGACATGGAATGTCACCTCTCTGGCGGGGAAGGAGCCGGAGCTTGTGGAAGAGGTTGAGCGCTGCCGGCTAGATATAGTCGGCCTCACCTCGACACATAATTCCGGCTCTGGAACCCAAGTCCTTGAGAGGGGTTGGACTCTCTCCTTCGCTGGAGTTGCTCCGGGTGAGAGGCGGAGGGCCGGGGTGGGCTTTCTGATAGCCCCCAGACTCTCTGCCTGTACGTTGGGGTTTACCCCGGTAGACGAAAGGGTTGCTTCCCTGCGCCTTCGGGTCGGGGAACGGGTCCTGACTGTTGTCTGTGCTTATGCACCGAAAAACAGTTCAGAGTACCCACCCTTTTTGGAGTCCCTGGGACGGGTGCTGGACAGTGCCCCGACCGGGGACTCCATTGTTCTGCTGGGGGACTTCAACGCTCATGTGGGCAATGACAGCGGGACCTGGAGGGGCGTGATTGGGAGGAACGGCCTGCCCGATCTGAACCCGAGTGGTGTTCAGTTATTGGACTTCTGTGCGGGTCGCAGTTTGGCCATAACTAACACCATGTTCAAACATAAGGATGTCCATCGGTGCACGTGGCACCAGGACAGCCTAGGTCGCAGGTCAATGATCGACTTTGTAGTCGTATCATTTGACCTTGAGTCCGAATGGGCCTTGTTCCGCTCTGCCATTGTCGAGGCGGCAGTTGCGAGCTGTGGCCGCAAGGTCGCTGGGGCCAGTCGCGGCGGTAATCCGTCAGGCTGAAGAAGGAGGCCTACAGGGCATGGTTGGTCTGTGGGTCTCCGGAAGCAGCTGATGGGTACCGGCGGGCCAAGCGGAGCGCAGCAGTGGCAGTCGTTGAGGCAAAAACTCGGGCATGGGAGGAGTTCGGTGAGGACATGGAGGAAGATTATCGATCGGCTCCAAAGAGGTTCTGGCAAACCGTCCGGCGCCTCAGGGGGGGAAGGCGGCAACTTGCTCACACTGTTTACAGTGGAGGCGGGGAGCTGCTGACGTCAACTGGGGACATTGTCGGGTGGTGGAAGGAATACTTTGAGGAGCTCCTCAATCCCACCAACACATATTCCAGTGAGGAAGCAGAGACAGGGGTGTCGGGGGCGGGTCGTCCAATTTCTGGGGCAGAAGTTGCTGAGGTAGTGAGGACTGTCTGGGCTTCTTTGCTGAGGCTGCTGCCCCCGCGACCCGGACCCGGATAAGCGGAGGACGACGACAACGACGAAGGCAGTTTAGTGTGTTTTGCCAACCAAGAGGGCATTTAAGCATGCGTTTTGGCTCCAAAGAGGGCACTTTAGCATGCGTTTTGGCTTCCAGGAGGGCACTTTAGCATGTGTTTTGGCTCCCAGAAGGGCACTTTAGCGTGCATTTTTCAACAATTGGGCCACGTTTAAAAAAAAAAAAATCATATTGGTTGTGTGTGTGTGCGCATGTGTCTGTGTGTGTGTGTGTGTGTGCGTGTGCGCGCGTGCATCGGGGCGAAAGTCTACCGTGCACGATACAGAGAGCAGAGGAGAATTGTAAATGCGCGACCATGTAGAGACAGAAATGACATGCCGTCATGTAAATAAGATAAATAACATAAGGCTATTTAGTTTGTTTAATAAAAAGGTATAGGTATAGGCATAGGCGTAGGATTGGGTAGGGACGGTAGGGACACATCCCTACCAATATTCAGCCCCCTCTGTATTGTCCCTACCAATATAAACACTGGCTGTAGGCGTCCGCTCAATATGGTACACAAATTGCTGGTGTCTACCATGTGTCCTGCCTCTAACCTCGTATTGCTCATCAATTGGCTCTACCCTTATTTTAGTAACGTGTGATTGGTCCTCCCCGGCGCCGCTCTCTCCACCGACTTTGTGGGTGCGCGTCACCGTACAGTTCAGAGCAGTTTGTGAGGGAACAACACATATATGCGCATCACCGTTAGCGCTCCACACCGGAGCGCTGAGTGTGAACACGTGCCAGTGATCTGTGACTGTCTATGGTCCTGATATGTCGCATGCACAGCGTACATTTCAAATTCGCATTCTACAAACAAACACGTGCAGATTTCGCGGCTGCAAAAAATGAAACGCCAGCAGGCCCAGCACCAACAACAGTCGTTGATGAAGTGGAAGAAAAGGAAGAAAACAGATGTGAGTCGGTTGGTTCAGTAAATAAGCTAAAAAAAAAAATCGTATTTTCTGCCAACACCTGTTGATGTTAGGCTAACTGAATGGCGTTCCTTGGCAACTCTTTGCTAGACAATGAGATGCTAACGAGCTAATACTAGCTGAGCTAAGT